TTCTTTCTTTCTCTTCCTTCCTTCCGCCACTTCCTTCCTTCCTCTTTCTTTCTTTTTTCTTTCTTTTTTCTTTCTTTTTTCTTTCTTTTTTCTTTTTCTTCTTTCTTTCTCTCTCTCTTTCTTTTTCCCTCTTTCTCTCTCTCTCTTTTTCTCTCTCCCTCTCTCTTTTTCTCTCTTTCTCTCTCTCTTTCTTTATCTTTCTTTCTTTTTCTCCCTCTTTCTCTCTGCTGGGATTTACCAGATTTATTCTCTGCTCCATGGACTTGGTGCGTGTATATTTTTTTTATCTTTTATACATCTGTTTTCACTTTGCACTTTCAATGAGCTGTAGCAGACAATAGTGAGAGAAAGATCTGAAAATGCAAGGAGACAGAGTTGCATATGTGTTTCATTTCTGCGGGTTAGTTGGAGAAAACAACAAAAGGACACCTGGAGGGGGTGTGCGTGGAATAAAACACACAGTTACAAAGAGGATTGTGACCCTGTAAGAGGGAAAGGCGAATACAACGAAAAAGGACTGCAAAAAGTAAGGAAGAGCAGCAGAAGTGAAGCAGGAAAGAGTGTCAAGGAACATTGATCCAGAGCAAGAAAATGAAGTTAAAAGCCCGTTCGGCTGGATGTTCCCTAACCTTTTTTTAAAAGAAGAGTTAGAGAAAAGACATGTCCGTCCGGATAAACAAACTGGGAAGACACACCTGCCGAAAATGTGTATCTGATCTATCTAAACAAATGTGTGTCTGTTTATCCATCTGTGCATTTGTATAGGGAGATCTAGAGCATCCCAACAATAATTGCAATCCTCCATCGAAGAGGTAAGTCTCACAATTCTCTCTTTTATGAACGTGGAATCAAATCGAGTATCCAGCAGCAGTAACATCCCAGGCAGTATTAGTTTGGCTGGACTTTCTCTGTGTGTTTGGTTTTTTGCTTGTTTTCTTGGGTTTGTTACCTTTTTTTTTTTTTTTTTTTTTTTTTTGGTTGTGGAGGAAACAGGGTTCAGTGGGAGACAACCATATGGGGAGGGAGGGCAATCCCATTTGTCTGCTTGCCAGAGGATCTCGTTTTGCCCTGGAAAAGACGATCAAACGGAGCCAGGGTCCACTCAGGAAAGTAAAAGGGATGACGGGGGTGGGGAGAGGAGGGGTGGCGGGAGGAGGGAATAAGAGTGGGTGCATGTGGATTTAATACCAGTGAAAGTATTACAGGGGGATCAGATTTAGCGAGCGAGCGAGAGGGAGCTTTTGAACATCTGTCTAATGCAGCTAATAGAAGTGACATTAGTGATATTGGAGAGAGAGAGACACCACCACCGATCGGGCTGGGATTACGCGAGTCTACCCAATCCGATTAGCCGCTGCCCCTCTCCTGCCACCGGCCGAGCCCGGGCCCCTCCGCGCCCTGCGAGCCCCGCGCAGCCCCGGCCCTGCTGCTCTCCCTCTTGCCGGCAGCCGCGGCTCAGACCCTCCGCTAAACGACGCTGAAGGGCAGAGCCGCAGCTCGGCGGTGGCGATCAAGCCGCTCGGGTTTAATATTCATCAATACACTGCGATGAAATTCCACCCCGCTCCCGAGGAAACCTTTATTCTCCGGCTAATTGTAATTTACAATTACGCTTTACGCCTTATCACGTAGGAGGTTAGGAAACAAGATTCTTCCATATAATTATTAACCTCTTTAATCCTATTCCACTGCATATCACCTCGCCCCGCAAAGTCCTATTGTTCCCTCCTACCCATTGTACCAGTCATTTAAACTAGTGCTTTAAAAAATCCCAGTCTGCATAATTTTAGACATCACACCCACGCACGCCTCTGAGCCCGAAGCAGAAGGCATGAATGGGTTATAACTCTGGCAGAAGGAGCGGCCGGCTGCTGAACCAGGCAGGGTCGCACAGCGCCGGGCTCCCCTCGCAGGGCGGGCGGGCAGCCGCCGGGGCCGCCGCGCCACGATGCACTCTGCTTTTGGGTGGGTTAGTAGATATTTTCCCTCTAGTTTGCTTGTCGAGTCGAATAATTTAAAAGCTTTCCTTGATTATACTAGCAGGCAATTTACACAGAAACATACACTTGTGAACTCCTTGCACCTAAGCAAGTATCTCCTGCCCACACGCACCATATGTATGCCTTACAATCCTTGCTTAACCGTGACTGTAGCCTTCAAAGTAAAGTGCGTCTCTCTAGCTCTCCAGTGCAGAGAAAATGCCTGCAGTTTGTACCTCCAGGCATTACAACATGCCTCAGCCCAGCTGAAAACAACACTGCAGCAGGAGTTCAGCCGGCCGCAGAGGAGTGTCACTGCCGGCAGCTCTGCCAGGGATGCTGCCAGGGGCTGCCGTGGGGCTCTCGAGTACTATCAGGTTCAGCCTTGTGCCTGACTCTTCGCAAGCTGTTTTACCACCCGGTAGGAGCTACCCGAAGCATGACTCAAAGGCTGACTAGCATCCAACTCATGAATTACAGAAAATTGATGCCCTGCTTAAAATTCACAGCAGTGAATTTGTAACGTTCACATTTCTACGTGACAGTCATCTTGCAGAGAGATAACATCTAACAGCTCCCGAGTTTCCCCCTTGTATCACTGTGGGAATAACATAGCAAAGGCCAAATAGTCTCTCTGTTGCTCATTCACACACAGTGCTCACACTGGAGTATTGTGCAGCAGTTTCATGATTTGTAGCACACCAATATAATATCTATCCCTGAGAAACTACACTGGTGGGTTTGATTTTGTTGTTTGTTTTATTTTTTTGTTTGTTTGACTGGCTGGGAGTTTCTTGAAGAGACATTAAAATCTTTCTTATAAACTTTTCTTGACCAGGTGATCAAATCTTACTAATCTTTCATGTGTACATTTCAGGCACCAAAGCTGTTATAAATTAAAACATCCCAAATTTTAATAGTAATAATATAGTCTGCATCAGCTTCTTAATTAGACATAGTTGGGGCAGAGAGCTGATGTTAGAATTAGGAGCTATCACCATCGAGAAGGTATATAATGAGGTATATAGTCTTGGTTTGCCACCCATTCATCTCTGAACCTTTGTCATTTAAACAAGGAAAAAAACCCCAAAAACATTCTCCAGCTCCTAACAATCTTTATTTTCCATAATCTTCACCACTTATTTTCATAACAAAAGTTCATAAAGTTAATGTGGGAATCCAAATAGTCTTAGAAGAACAAATTCTGTCCTACCCTCGGGGCCTATGTTCATTTCATTCTTGTATTTGTGTTGGTTGCATCGCTGTGTTGTGACACACTCTTGAGTTACTATTTTCTTATTAACTCTCTGATGTTCCTAATAGAACAAGTAGCTTGCATCATCCAGGTCATGCATTGTTCTGGAACAGAGGGGTTTATGCCAGGTGGATGTTGGATATATTCAGAGGCTGGCCAGTAGGAGACAGCGACAGTTAGGGGATCATAGCGTGTCTCTACTATGTGCACATGCAGTTCAAAACACTGGAGAATTTTAGCACAAATTTGTGCTTCTGAAGTGAGAAAGATGATCACAATGTCTCGAATCCTGTTTTCTGGATCCCCAAACTTCATATGAATTGTGTTTATAGATTAACATGAGGTGCCCTAAATCGATTCCCTCCATTTTAGTGTTTCATAATATTCCATTGGAGTTTTTTCACCATATATATTTCTAAGTTTTAACACATACTTAAAGTAATATATTGAAATAAAATTAATTTTGTAACAGATTCAATTTATAGGAAGAGGATGGTAAAAACATACACATCTACTATTTAATATGATGCTGGATTTTTACCCTGCGGTAGATAGCAAGCATTTTTTCCTAGTAGTTTCCATTATTCTTACTAGGCTTTATTTATACAGTGCAGTTTTTGAAAAATATGACTAATACATTCCATATAAGCATGTAGTGAATTCCAAAATGGACCCACTCTGATGTAGAATAATACCCATTTTAAAGCTCTTTTGTGAAGTGCTCAAATTCCTCCTTACATCCCTGACACTTTAGAATGGCACATGCCTTGTACTGGAAACTCTGGGGCTGAGAAAATGAATATGATATTGAATATCAAAATATCAAGAGCAGAAACCACTACTCTATAAGGGTAATTTTAGGTTACCAACACAGAGAGTACCTACATGCAATTGTCTGCAGATGTGACCAAGCCAGGCTGCAGGATCCTCTATTTAGATGAATTTTCTCATCATGAAAGAAGAGGTTTTTTTGCTCCTATTAGCTGAAGACCAGCAGCATATAATACACAAATTCTAGAGCAGTCCTGGACAAGTGGAGTGGCTTTTAGAGAACAATTAATTGGCAGATTGTCTTTTAGATGTTATTACAGCTGTTCTAGATGATTATGTCAGAGGCCAAACCCTGATGGGCCAGACACTAGTCAAACCTGGAATCAGAATGCTGGTCGCTGCTTGGAGTTTCTTTCATAAGTTGAAACCCCATCTTCTGTTTTGGTTTGTTTCCTTGTGACTCTGGTGCTAAGAACACCCCTGCACCTGAGCTTTAAGTAAAGTGGTACTACCTAAAATGTCACAGATTGGATAAAATATCTGAGGTAAAGCATAGGAAAAAATATAGAGAAATGCAAGAGGAAAGACAGAGAGAAAAAGGATGTGATGAAAAATATGGATCAGAGAGGAGGCAGGAGAACTTGATATATTTTTCTTTTACCAAGCAGTATTTTCCAGTAATTCTTTGGAAGAGATAATTCTTTGTCACACCGTTCCCTCTTGTCTCTTAAATATTTATGTATTCCCCAGGCTACCACGGCCAAGAACAAAGGGACTGGGAGACCTAAGAAAATCTCAACATAGAGAAGGAAGAGAACAGACTCAAGAAGAAATTACATGGTCCACATTCTTACCTCTGCAGGATCAGCTTTCAGTCTTGTCTGTGCATCAATGCATGTGCACACAGGCACACCACATATGTCCTTTGAACTGCCTCTCAGAAGATATTGCTTAAACAGCCAATTGTGCCAACATATCATATCAGTAACTCGACTAGTGCCAGGAGGGAAGAGTGAAGGACCGAGACAGAGGGGTATTATCAACATATACATTTGATTCCCTATAAACCAACCAGGTAAACCTCAACAGGGCTGTCTTTATACACCACAAGGTGTAACCTGTTGGTAATCATGGCTGGAGTGTGTTAGAACAGGACTGACCAGCTAATGGGGGTGGATTCTTGATGGTGATTCTTTGTATGCTTTTTAAAATAAGATTTGAAGACTCGTGAAGAATGCAAAGCAGATGACATGGGTAGCATTTAGCATTGCTGTGGGCAAGGCACTCTTAGATAGCTGATGCACCCTTGCTCATATTGCTCTGCCAGAGCAGCCCCTTAACTTGGAAAGTAGCTGCTGCTTCTTGCTTACATTGGAGTGAATTGAATATACCTCAGTAAAAATCCATGCAGTTCCACTGGTGTAAGCCTGCTGTGTAAGTGATGTGAGACCCAAGCCCTATTTCACCAGCCATTGCAAAGGGATAATTTATGATTTGGGCTGCTCAGCTGCTGCCACAATGCTTGAGCCTGGAATCAGTGGTGCTTAGAAATTAGTGCACCTTGTGCCACACACAGAGGTGAGAAGAGGACTGGGCTGGGGTTTGTATTCCTGTTAACATCAGGGAGTGAGTGGGCATTTCTCACAGATTGTGGCATGGTGCAAGTGGAGGACAGCTCTGAGCCTAGAGGAGTTGCCTGGGATGCTAGGCAGTGTTTCTCCACCCTCTACTAGGCAGGCCATGCGAAACACTATGAAAGCCAAGATTTTTATTATTTACTTAGTGAAAAGGTGTATCAATACTTTGTGATGGTTATAGTAGCTGAAAACATGATCTTTGCTGTCTTGTCTGAACTCCTTTTACCTGCTTACTATTACGTGTCACCAGGGATAGCTTTTCAGTTCTCTTTCCTGGATCTTGATTTCACTGTTTGGATATATTTGTCTGAATGTTTGCAGGAGATTGTATCTTTATCAACTAAAAGGAGAAATAAATAACAGAGTGAGAAGCTTGCTTTGCTGAGCAATTGAACTCTTAATTTTTGCAGCATAATTCTGAAAATAGGTCTGGCTTTGCGTGCATTGGTCTAAATGCAATTTTAATTTCACTGTGTCTAAATGGGGAAAGGATGACGAGGGGATGTGACATCATACTTAGCAGTATGATGCAGGACACAGCCATTCATTTGGAACATCATGATCTGTGCTAAAAAGGAAGAACTTGTTTTTAAGTAAATTTTGTTTTAGGTATTCCTGAGTCTTGGCAGGAGAATGAGGGGCACCCAAGTGAGATCATTCCAAGCTTCCCATGCCTCCTTCGGTTTGGAATTCACTCATCAGCAAATAGAAACCAAGTCTTGATTGTGGCAGCACTGCATATAAGTAACTGCTTGGCCACCCATTGCAAAAATCATGTCCTAACACTTTCTGCTGGTTTCATTCCCACAAATTTTGACCCACAAAATTGAAAGGAATTATCTGTTTCTAACAAAAACCCAGACATTTGGCAAAACAAAAAGTCCCATTTAATCAGGTATGTTTTTAATCTCACTATGTTTTTGTTCTCTTAAATTGTTCTCTGTTCAGTACTAGTGCTATTATTTGACTGTAGAAATAGCAGGGCTTTGTTTGTTATTTTCTGCAAATGTTTGTATCTTGAGTGCTTCTGTCTCAGACATATTCAGGGGTTGACTTTGCCTGTTGTGCTTTCAAAATTCAGGAGATTAGTATTAAGCTTTGGCAACGATTTATGCTGTTATCAAAGATCTTTGGACAAATGTGGAGTTAGGAAAAAATGAATCCTATGCTGATGACATATGTAGGCCAAATTCAACTACGTCATAAATTACAGAAAAAGTTGCATGCATTGTTGATCAGAGAATAACGAGGCATATATGCTTACAACAGGGTCCCTTGTCTAAGGCTGGCCTTGAATCTGTAAAAAGGGGGTAACTCAAGCTGGTGTGTGCATACATGGTGCGTGAGTGTGTGCATATTGGAGAAAATAAAGCTTTATCCCACTCTGGCTGTAGGAAAAAGCCTTAATCTGGATTTACTTGTATTTCATTCCCAGAGTGACGTAAAAGTCTTAGAGCCAATCTGTGCACCGCAAGGGAGTCAGGTGCAGAGATGTGTGTGCAGAGTGCCAGAGAGCTCTGTGCTCTGTGCAGGAAGAGCCCCTTGGCTCCAGTACAGCAGAGCTTAGCTGCTTGGCCCCAGCTTGTGGAGAGGGGCTCCAGTGTCACTCCCACACCAGTCCTTCTCCCACCTGCCTTCACACAGCCATCACTTCTTCCTTTTGCCATCAGTGCTCCACAGTTTGAGCTTCTTGACCAGTTTCAGTTTTCACTTCCAAGCTCTAGATGTAGCTTTTGGATACACTATTGCTTGCTTTTCTTCCTGGATTGTTGTAACCCTCCTAACCTATCTGTGTTACAAGACTGACCTACCACCTTCTATCTACCCCAGATACCTGATGTTTCCAGGGCTTTGCTGCTCCTACCTGTGCAGTCCTGGTGTGTAGAATGCACAGTTCCCATTTTGTGACTCCAGCCTTTACTTACAAATGAGAAGAAGGACATGTTCAATGTTTTCTCCTGATAAAAAACCTTCAGATTGGTAGAGACAATTAAATACTTATTTCTTTAATTAAAACCAATTTATCTATTCACTGTAGAGCTTTCCCATTGCCTTAGCAGTGATTAAGACAGATACCACATGAACCTTTGAACTGTGGGCAAACAACAGAATGTGTTAAGACCAGCAGATCTGTTAAAACTCTTTCCTTCTGGTGAAATGAAAGGCACAATTAAGTGTCTAGTTATGGAATAGCAGTAGACACTAGAAGCCACAACTCGGGGTATATAGACCTGAGCAAAGGACTGTTAGAGGAAGATTGAGTGAGCCTGTAATAAGATGCAAATTGAAACTGCTGCTGCCATGAAAATTCTTTCCTGTCCATTCTTCCAGCCTTTTATTCACACCCTTGCACCTCTCCTCTGCTCTGTGCTGACCTGTATGTTTGTGTAGTGCACTGGCAGCTGAAACAGGGAACATCATGGCTAAAAATTACCTAGTGAAAAAATACCCTACATTTATAAGAGTAGTTCAGCTGCATAAAGTCACTGAATAGCCACCACTGTGAAGATATAGCTAGCAGAATCCCTGGCCCTAGTCTAAAATCCAAGGGAATAGGCAGTCATTTGGTGTTCCATGTGCAGGTGGGAAGAAGCAAGAAAAGGGCATTTCCAGTGCAAGGTTGACTAAGAAAGCATACAGGTGGGGAAACAAAACAGCTTTATGCTTCTGAGTTGTGTGATGCACTGATGCCTCACACTGATGCATGAACTTGATTGCAGCAATGAAAAGTTTGTTTTGTAGAATATATTTCCTCAGCCACCACAAACTATTTTTTAAGAACTTGATATTGTATAACTGCTCGTGTCCTAGCATTCAAGCTAGGCTACATATTTTTAAAGCACATAATCTTTCATGTGTGTTCCCACAGAGGCTGTCCTCAGTGCTAGTATCAGAGTAGAGACCTTTTTATGACTCCTGTGACATCTATCTTTGTATGACTTGGGAAGTGGTCTGAGACCAGAATATAAATGCCTCCAAGACTCTGCTTCCTTCTGCATACAGTGCTTAATATAAGAGGAGATTTATTCTCTTTCAGTATATATTTAAATATAAATTACTTAATGTTAATGTACAAAAATACAACAAAAAATAAATATGCATGCTTTGAAAAATATCAGTTATATATAAATATATGAGGACACTTTTCTAAATCTTTCCAGAAGCAATTAAATTCTAGCATGCCTTATAGATCATGGAATGAGATAAAACGAGTGCTATTATGAAATCATGAGTGTGATGCTGTTTTCTAAGGAACTATAGTCAAGATTATCTGGTTATTCTTCTTTTTAACTATGTCCTGCTCTGGGTTGTTTTCCATGAGATTTCTAGAAGATATTTTTCCCTTAATAAAATAAATTCATATTCATTTACCATAGTGAAATTCAAAGTAACTTTAAATTCAGGGTTTTAGCTTCTGATAACAATTTCTTATGTAAAGCAGCTGCTATTTTAAGTCTTTCTCTATTGCTTGCTCAAGGAAAAGTGTAATGGGCTTTGGTGGCTATCTATAGTAACTCTAGAATGTTTGGCTTTTTTATTTTAGCACACTGCAATTTAATTAATTTACAATATATAAGATGTTAACAACAAAATCCATCTGATAAAATGATTTTTATGTGTTATTTATGGGGAAGACACAAGGATTTCAGTAATTCTCAAAAACATTCACATTTTATTTCTTCTGACTTTTTGTTTTACTCTATATTTTATAGGTCTTCATTTGTATTTGATGTAGGTTTTGAACTTCAGATTTATGTCTCAACACCTCACAACAAATTTTGTAAATATTCTGTGGGGGCTTGGTCCTGAAACATAAACACTTCTTCTTATTGAGGCACTGAAGTAAAACAGATCCCCTCATTTATTATGGGATATCCAGGAGGCTAAGGAGATTTTGATCTCTTTTTTTTCAGGAACATCTTCTTCAGTAAGAATAATGAAATGTCATCATGCTAAGGTGAATCATAATAAATGTTATGTCTTGGTTGACACTGAAAAATAAATCAAAGAAAGTTGTGAGAAATATTGGTGACTTTTTTTTCCACAGAGATTTGGACCAGCTCTATAAATTAAACAGTACGTGATGACAGCCTTGAGGCGGTAAGTAAACCATTCAGTAGATAATCTCCATAGTAACAAAAAAAAGTTTAACCATCTCAAACCAAAATAGCACATCTGGACCTGGCTGTGTCATATGGCAACAGGGAACATTATATTGTTGTCAAAAGTCACAGCACACAAGAAAATTGCACAGCTTAATCCTTGTTGGTAGAAATCAGTGAAGTACAAGCATTGTTTTGGGAGGACTCTGATCCTGTAAGAAATTATATATTTGCTCACCTTTATGCTGTGTAAGGATCCTGTTGTGATCCATCTGGTGTTTGCAAGTTAGCAGTAAAACCAGGCTCTCCCTTAATGAGTATGGAATCCAGTCCTGAGAATTCTTGCTCATGAGAGCAGTCCTAAATCATGAACAGAATGCATTTGTGTAATAACTGATTCACTGCATTCCTAATTAGCAGTATTTTATTTTAATTGTACTAAACTTCAGAGCTGAAGACCTATTTTACAAGACAAATACTTTAGTGCTAAAGATGGAATCATTTAATTGGTGTGGGTGCAAAAACTCGGAGATAATTACTGAACTGCTGAAGAGAATGCAAAATTTTCTTCAGTAAGGACAAGGCTGTATGTGACACCCATATCTCTCCCTGAGAACAAAAAGGAGCAGGGGCTCCACTTTTCATCTTGTTCAAGCTGCATAAACTTTGGGTCAAGCCATGCTAAACTAGTGCATAGCTGATGGTAGGAGACATCCACAGAGTGCTTTTTAGGAGCTGTGTGGGGTTCAATTGCTCTCTTATCAAAACCCTCATGTTTGGGTGTAAATTTTCCCCTTTCTAAGCCTGCAAGTAATCAGGGAAGGAAACAGGTATAACCTTCATTCTGTCTTTCGGTGAAATTGCCATTTTGCCAAGTGAAATGGCATGAGTGTATGTAGCAATTTGTGGGCATGGGCTACAGTAGAAATTGTGTCTCTGAACGAAACTGTTCCAGAGCTTGTGCTTCCTGAGACTTTTGCTGGTCTGGGGTGCTTATGTATCTCCTATTGCTCAGGCCTAAGCCTGCCCTCAAAGGCACACTTTCAATCACAAAACTATGAAAAACTGTGTCACTGATCAGCTCTCTGGGACTCTGTGAGAGCTCTGCATCCAGTCTTGACATCCTGAAGGCAGTCAGCTCTGACAGACTTCCCTAATATGCTTTCAGCTCATCCTCATCCACACCTCGATTCATACAGTTAAAGCTACAACACCCAGGAGGTAGCCCTCAGTCTACTTTGTCAATTCAATCCTTTTCATCCATTGAAATGTGCCAGGAGAGCTAAAAAGGACCAATGTGTGTTCCTGAAGAAGAAGTAGAGAGATTTCTAGATTTATGCCTGTAACAGTAACGTACAGAGATTTTCACACAGCCTCCTTCCTCATGGTGCCACAGCATGGTTTATGTTTCTGTCCTTCTGTACAAACCTGTTCTTCCTAAGCTCTACCAGTTCACTTTTAGTACTGGGACAGGTCCCTGGACAAACCTAGCATTAGAAAGTCCCATGTATGGGGATGTCCCTGTGTGAGTGGATTCTTCTTCCCTTGCTTAAAAAGGACAGAGCAAAGCCTCCCTGAGTAGTAACCTTTAAGTATAATTCAGATTTCTCTGAAGAAGAGTTTAGTTTGAAGGGAGAGTCATGTTTGTTTCCACTGAATGTACCGAAAATATTCCATAATCCTGACCTAAAAGAACAGCTGCAGTCACAAGCCAGGATTTGCAAAGTCTTGGTACAACAATGTACGTGATAACAAATGATTTGACATAAATCCTTGCAAGACAAAAAAGACATGCAGGATAGAGACAGGTTTATAAAGCTGGGTGATGAAGAAAGGTCAGTACCTCTAATCTAAATACAACAATACTCATGTGGTATCACAAGAAATCTCCGAAGCAACCTATCCACAGTTGCAACCTATCCACACAGCTCAGTGAAAGCATGTACTTCACCGTCTTCCCTTTAATGTTCCTTTTGGAAATAATTTGGTAGGGATATTTTGGATGGGATTCTGATCTGCATATGTTTACCTTTTAACACAAATGTTTCCATCATCTGTGCTCTCTCCCTTTGGCTGTGTGAGTTGCTGGGCATTGTTTTTGACTGGAGTGGAGAGCATCTGGGTAATTAATTATTGCATTGCACAACAACTTCCTTTACAATTTAAGGTTGCCAGTGCTTCAGCAGCTCTGAGATTCCAGCTGAGAATTTAACAATGTGTTGCTAAAAAGGGGGGTTAAATGTTGTTTACACATTACATTTCTGGACAAAGCAAATTTCACTTGCACCTGCCAATGGCCAACTGATAAATATACACTGGTAGAAGCTCAACAGCAGTGGGCCAGTGAATTAGATAAATACCACAAGGCACCATAAGCATTGAAGGCTAGTGTTTAATCAGCTCTCACACTCCAGTAAATAAAAACTCTTTTCTTAAAAAAGATTAAAAATAAATAAATCATCTTTGCAAAATAAAAAAAAAAATTAAATGCATATTCAAAGCACAAAATAAATTCCTCTCTGAGTCTATTGCAGTTATCTGCTAAGTTTCCTGCCTCTGAGATGTTAATTATGATTTAATCAAAATTTGTGGTCAATTTTTAAGTATAAAAGCATCTCATATGACTGGTTGCCAATTCTGAAGTCTAAAGGCCTTGCTTTATATTGCTATAGTAGAACAGAAAATATAATCAAAGTTTGACCTTCAACTTTAATCCTATAAACAGAGAATTTGCTTACTTTACCTTGGAAACGGATGTGATTCATCACAGTAGCCCATAAATAACATGTCAAACTGTTAGACCGATCAATGAAAATAAGTTATTGAAAAATAATGTGATTGTAAAGTTTCTATGTAAACTAGCTTAGTGTTATTTTAAAATGAGGAGGGCTTTCAGATTGAGGTAAATATTTTTTTAAGGAGAATAGTTACTATGTAATAAATGCAGTAAACATGAAACATATTTGCCCTACACAAGATATTCTTTTTCACGAAAAGTACCTTAATGTAAATAAGCATTAAAGCTCCAGAGGAAGAATTGGGGTCCACTTAGATCAAGACTGCAAATGGCAGGTTACCTAAACTGTCTGTTGCTTATCACCATGCCTGAAACAAAAACAGAGGGTGAACTCTTGTCCACATGGGAGCCCACAGGAATGGTTCAGTCATGAAAAACCTGCATTTGAGACCTCAAAGCTGAAAGCCGAATTTCATGTGGACTGGATGAATTAAGTCTCCACTATTTATTTGTGGGTATTGACTCTGAAGTCTGACAAGAGCAATTAAAATACAGGAATGTATCGAAGCTGCTGTTTTGTGGCTTATGTTTCCAGCAGGAATATCCAGAAAATGAAGTATTTCACAAAAAAAAGTATATTTTTGGATGCAAAAGTCTACAAAAATTTTAAAATTCTTTGATGTAGTAGCACAGCACACATTTAAGCCATATGACTATATGGGGATATTGAAATGAACTGAATATCAAAATGAATAACCTAAATTTCCTTCATATGTATTAGCAAGTTTAACTGTTCAGGTAGCCAGAAAGTTATTTTACTGAACAGAGGGTTGAAGCTGATTAGTTTGCTGTGTCAGAACCAGACCTTGTCTGGCATTTAGATTTACCAGCTGAAGTTTGTTTGCACTCCTTGTGTCAGTAATAGTGGAGATAGGCAAGGTATTGTGATGCCAAAATATAAATAACATTTTTCATCCAACTTTATTACAAAGCATTTGTTTGTACATGATGGAGTCTTTCAATGTAAATAATTAATGTGTGGATAGATTGCCTTGCTGTACAACGAGACAGGGAGGTAATGGAGTTATACCTGCATGACAGGTATGTACCTTCCTTTTTACCTTTCATTGGTGCCATAAAAAGAATTGAAAAATTCTCTTTTTAACTTACACAGGAATCACTTTGCTGAGATCACACTGTAAATATATAAAGAATATAACATAAACAATTATAGTTTTGTGAATAATTTTCTGACAGAATAGCTCTTTAGTATTTTTTGCACAAATGTGACTTTGTGTTTTAATTTGTTGATATAAATGGAATATAGCTGCAGTCAAAAGCATTCTGGATTTCCATGATGACAGCCGGAACCCTCTCCTGGCCTTTCTCCTTGTCATTTACAGTTTATTTATTTACTTGAACCTCAGACCTGGTGGGAGGAAATGAGGAAATGTCAGGAATCCCACGTGGACTCAGCAAACCTCTGCCAATAAGAAGCAACTCCACAAACTGCTCGCTGGAAACTCTGCCCCCAGTGAAGCATCACCTTCCTCACCTTTCACAGTGCCTTACTCTGTGCACAGCCCCTGCATGCCTTGGTGCATAGCTGTGGCTCCCCCTGTGTGACAAGTGGGACCCTCAGAGCTGGAGGGGTCACTGGGGGCCCACTGAGAACAGGCTGCTGCTTTCAGAGGCGTCGTGTCCTGTCACAGTAGCAAAGCCAAGAGGACACCTCTGCTTGTGTACTCAGCATTAGCAGAGTGCAGAACAGCTGCTGAGGTATGAGCATGCAGGACCCCGAAGAGAAGAGCCCATCCTGAGTGACTCTTAGCTAAAGTAGGAAACCAAAGGTGGCACAAGGGCAGAGCAGAGGAGCAGAGGGAGGGCGGGGGAACTGGGTGTTGCACATCTCTCTGAGCAGCTGCATTTCTACCCAAGCCCAGCTGCCCCTTGTAGACTGAGAGGCTCCTGTGGGCTGTGACCCACTCCACGTGCAGAGGGAGGTTGCTGTGGCCCTGCACTGTGACATCTCCCACAGCCAGCTGCCCCACAGCCAGAGCAGCCCAGGGGAACAGGAGCTTGATTTCCATCATGCCCCATTAAGGGAATGTAGTGAAAGACTATTTTGAGGAGGTTGGAGTAATGATAATGAAAGAATTTTCAAACTGTTTGTGTATAACTTCCTGAAATGTGCAAGACAGAAAGAAAGAGAGCACAAAGGTGTCTTCCTGATGATTTAAAAAATGCTGTTGCCTTTCTCA